AATATTTTCTTATAAAATAGCTAGGGTGGGACAGATGGAACTTGTTTCTTGACTTACATACGTTTAAGTAACAAGAAATATATCATTAATAACCCCAAAACTTATGCAGTTGTTTATTTGACAGTTTTCTTATTTTCATTTTAAACTAATTAAATTAGAAAAATAATCATACATGCGAATTGTCTCATTTTCAAGGGGAGACTGGGAGAGAGTATGTACTCTTGTATTATCTATTTTCTTTAATTAGTTATTTTTCTTCATTTAACTTTTTCTTTTTTTTATTTAAAAAATTAATTATGAAAAAATGCCTATACATATTAATTATCTTACTTTAAAGTACATATTACAACAGAATAAAAAAATTATCCTCTGCTGATGCTGCTGGATGGTCGGTCATGATAAATTAATATTCCATTATATATTTTTAGGAACCACCCTTTTTTTATAATCAATCTTAATTATTTAAAATATAAATTAATGGCTAGGATTTTGCGTTAGAGGAACTGCAAAAATTTGACGATAGAGGATCCGTTAATTACTATACACACCTACTCTTGTATAATTAAATTTTGAAGAAAAGGTAGGTTGCTATCGTTTTATGCCGATCAATTGTGCTTATATTGGAATAAATTATCAATATATATATAAACTGAAACGATTCAGCCATCACTTTTTTGGTTTGTGATGAGAATTTTAATAGAATAATCTTCTACTGTTTTCTATTTTCTTTATTAGTTCTCCTAATTTTTATAAAGTAAATATTAAATACAATAAAATATTTAACATCTTAAAATATAAAAGAAATAATTTTTTTTGTTTAATAAGTAAAAAGTTGTAAAAATGTTTTAAAGGATGATTTAAAATGTTTATCTTAATATATACATTCTTTTATCTTGGATCTCTTTTGAAAAAGTTTGAGGAAGCATGGAATTATAATATGATTAAAAATATTAATAAATGCTTCTAAAATATTAATTGAGAAATTAAAAATATTTTAAATAAACTATCAATACACTCCATCAAAATTTTTAATAACTCAATTATGATTTAAAAATATTATAGACGAATTCTTTAACTAGTATTTTTAGGTTATTTATTTGTAAGACTCTGTAACTAATTGTATTTCAAGGCCACAACATGTGAAAGTTTTATATGCCAATATTTATTTGACTGTCAACCCTTTAATCATTTATATCACGTGAGTTTGAAAAATAACTTGAAGTTCAGTGATGATCTGATCAATGGAAGGAGACTATTTGCAGATGTCATAAACTTCTGAATGTTAATAAGGGACTCATTTTTAGTTATTTAAGCGAAATTATACCCATTTTAATTGTCCCAATACCAATATAAAAAGTCACAATTATTTGTTCATATAAAATTTTAGCTTGAATAAATAATAAATATATTTATTTAAGGACCTTATAAAGATTTCTCAGTAGTTCATCAGTTCATGAGCAATAGGAGTTTTCAGTCCGGTTGGATGGAGCGATCATTAGGAGTTATTGCGACGGAGCTATGCGTACCAGAAAAATTAAATGGCAACATTCGATGCTTAATTGCTTAAACAATTGAGCTTATATATTTGTTTTAAAATACAACAAAATTTTATTTTGTGATAAAGTTTCTTCTACTCAAAATCTTGTGAATTTTTTTTTTTCAAATATTTGGAGCTGTATGATGAATTTGGGATACGATGTGATTTTAAAACATTAGAAGTCGTAAATTTATAAAACACTTAATAAAATAATTCATCGAATGGAAGATGAGGATTTGAAGAGAATAAATCTTACGATTTTTTACAATGGATAAATGTTGACGTTTTCATTGGTACATTTTGAGTAAAATGAGATTTAAAAATAATTTACTTAACTAAATGTGTGAAGAAGATTTTGAGTGAAAATGAGATTTCACGAATATAAATAAGTAAATAAAATAAAATTAGATTTGTATAATTTAATAATATATGAATTTCATAATGGAATAAATATTAAAAAATACGATTCTAACCCACCTATTTAATTATAATCTTATATTTATTTTTAAAATAAAATATTTTTTATAATTTCTTTACATTACAAAATAATTAGTCCAAGCTCTTTCTAATTCTTTCTCAATACTTTTACATTGTCAATTTAGCATTTGAGAGCTGTAAAAGACGTGTATATCTTCTTTTTACTTTGAAAAACATTTAGTAGGTAAATTTGTAAATTTAAGTTTAAATAAATTTAATTCATATAATTAATTTTATTTTTAAATAAATAAATAAATGGTATATTTACGTTTATTTTTATTCAAGAATAAATTGTATAGAATATAATATAAAATTTTTAACTCAATTTAATTAAATACTGTAATTCATAACATTAACTCAAGCATAAATTTTTAAAAAATTAATTATATCATAACATTGTCAAACATATTGATAGAAATTTCAAACTACATTTATATATTTAAATTTGAGCGTAAAAACTTTTAACATTCTTCCAAACATATACTTATTAATGACATTAACAAAATTTTAAAAAATAAAACTAAATTTATTGAGTGATTTAAAATGATACTTAAATAACAGCTCATTGGAAAATAATGTATTGTAGTTGTCTTCTTTTATTTCTAATATCTATTTACCAAGTTTATTAATATTATAAAATATTAAAAATAAATATTTTTTAATTTGAATAATTTATTTATTTTGATAATTATATGATCGTATTTACAATGTTTACTTATTATAAAATAGATACAATTTTTAATGTAAATTTGGTAACGGACTTTTTGAGGAAAAAACTTAAATATTATTATTTTTGTCAACATTAAATAATTCTAACTTAACACGTAATTTTAAGTTGAGTTATAATTATTATAGTTGTTTTTAATTCATATTTTAGTTGTTTTTTTTTATCAAAATATTATTAATGTATAATTTCTTTTTGGTAAAGATGCATCATATTCTGTGATGCTATGGTCTGTAAAAAAATATTATATATAAATTTATTATGTGTTTCTTGGATATACTTTAATTAATGAATAATAATTTATAGCTGTTAATCATATATTTACTTTGTTAATTTATAGAAGCCGTAAGTTAGAATTTTAAAATTTTTAAAATTTGTTAATATTTCATTAATTTTAGAAAGTACATATTTAATTCTAGAGTTGTATTTAAATCTAAATGAATATTTTAACAACATTTTAATTTTACCTACGTACCGGTTATTTTCACATCTTACAATTTTATTTTATAATATTAAAAGATTAAATAATATTTCAAACATATATAACGTTAACTTTAAAACTTCTATTCAATTTGTTTTATTTAGTACTTTAAAATCTCAAAACTAATAATAACAATTTAAAAATAGTTATCAATGATATAGAGAATGAAAGAGCCGAAAACGACAAGTGTGTTTATATCGTACTAATTTTTTTAATGTACAGTACATGTATTGTTAAATGAAAATATAAATTTCAGATAAATAATTAAAAATAAATTAAATGACTAGCTTAAAAATTAACAAATTTTAAAAATTTAAAAAAGACTAAACATTGCAATCAGTAATAAAGAAATTTCATTAAATTAAAAAATAAATTATGAAATTTTAAAAATTTAAATTAATATACCAAATTAATATTTAATTAAAAAATAAATATTCAATACAAAAAAAAGTTTACTTGTCTTGATGGAAAAAGTTAACTCCTAAAATACTCTCATTTAAAAAAATTAAAAAATATTATTTAAGAATTTGTATTCATGAATTATATATAAAGGTTGATTGGACTAAAGTAAAATAAAATTTTATCTCTTTAGAAGAGTTATAAATTTAAATTTAATAAAATAGATAATATAATTTTAAAATAAAAAATAATAATTTAAGAACATATATTGATTTACAAAAAGAAATTATACTTTAATATTTAAAATTAATTCTGTGAGTTGATGTTAATAAAAATGAATCCATTGCCAACTGTACTATGAGCTCAACAGAAAACGATTGAGCGAGTTGTCATTTTTAGGAGCAAATAATAAATGGCCGCATCGCTGGTTGAATCTAAACGTCAAGGGTTGCTTTAAATATTAAGTGGATAACAAACCAGAGATCAGGTTATTGCATTTCGTATCATGTTTTTTTTTATTCCCATTAGCCACACCCCATCACTTAATTTTTTTTAAATTCTGTTTTCCAAAAACATTGATTTTTGTGTTTTTTGTTAATAACATGGGCTTCCAATGATCAGACCCCAAAGCAGCAAAGCCGAAAGGCCCAAGACAGTAAAACAACAAAGCAGGGGATAAAAGAAAACCGAAGGTTTTGGACCCAAAAACCAAAATAGAAGACCAAAAGAAATAAAAATAGAAAAAGAAGCAAGCTGGCTCACTCACAATCCACAATCCACAATCCACAATCCAGAGTCGAGTGTATGTACTGAAATGACAGCACAATTCTAAAAGTGAGAAAAAGCAAATCAGGTTTTCATTATTTAGGTTGATTGGGCCTAACCCCACTAATTTAGCTCTACATACCCAAACAATGTATATTGCAGCCCAATCCATGTCTTGATAAAGAATTATGGTACTGGATGGTTTCTTCCCAATCTCCTTATAGCTGTCAGGATTAGGAATGCACTGTATCATGGTACAGGATACCCTTCGGCAAAAAGGCTTCAACTCCTCAATCAGATATACAATATTGATGATGCCATGTATATCCATGTTAATGAATTTAAATTTGAATAACGCGATCTTGCACGCATAATATGTAATGATTAAAATGTTGCAGTAAAGAAAAGTAGCTAATAAACATTCTCTGATATGATCAGACAAGCAATTATTATGAGAAAGTTTAATGTAAATTAAAATTAGTAGCATTGAAATAAATATAAGTTTATAACCATTTAAACATAATCCAAACACGCATAAAATTTATACAAAATGTCAAAACCTATAGTAGGAGGGAAAAGGCAATAAAATTCATCTTTGGTTGACAAATAACATTAGTTCAAGGAAGATTCACTTGGTCAACTTGTCCTTTAACAAACCGGCGCCAAAACCAGTGTTTACCCCATATGGTGTACATTGACTCCAATGGAATTCCTTTAGTCTCGGGCAAGAAAAATATAACAAAGATTGTCATCGCCGCAATCCAACCCGCATAGAACAAGAAGGCACCAAACTTAAAGTGGCATAGCATTGACAAAAATGTCTGGGACAACACAAATATAGTTATGAATTGCACACCAACAGCTATACTTTGTCCAGTGGTTCTGATTTTTAGAGGAAAAATCTCACTGGGAATTAGCCATGTGAGAGGGCCCCACGACCAACCAAAACCTGCACTGTAGAAACAGAGTAGCACCAACACCAGAACCGCGTTGCCCTTCGATACGTCCTTCGTACCATGAACTCCAGTCACCACTGCTAGCAAAACAGACACCGCAATCTTCACAGTAGCAACAACAAGAACTGTGAATATTAGTAAATATGCCACGTGCATGTATGAAAAATAATATAGAAGGTCACTTAATTAATTACCTGACAGACAAACATGAGAATGCCACCAGTTATGAACAAAAACCTTCGACCAAACCGATCAACAACAGCAGTGGATATGAGAATAGAAGCAAGGTTAACAGTTCCTAGTATAATAGCAGAAAGTAAAGCTGCTTCGTGTCCCAAACCCACAGATTGAAAGAGGTTAGGTGCATAGAATGCCACAATGTTGATTCCTGTAAGCTGTTGAAAAAATGGGATAGCAAATGCCATCACCAAATGGGGTCGATACTGCCTCTCAAATATGGTCATAAAAGGTTCTTGCTCCACTGATTTAGCCACTTGTGACCATTTAATGAGTTCTTCTAACTCGGGTTCAACATCGATGGACGCTCCTCTGATTTTGCGCAAGGCTTTTCTGGCTTGGTCTATTTTGCCACGTTCCACCAAGCTGCTTGGCGTGTCAGTTATAAGGATGGCACCAACTGTCATAAAGGCTGCAGGTACAACCGCAAGTCCAAGAGAGAGTCTCCATCCCCACGTGTGCTTTGCGGTGCCATAGTTTATGCATCCTGCAGCAAGCACACCAACTCCTAGGAAGAATTGGAAGCCTGTGTTGAAAGCACCTCGCCATTTGGGTGGAGCTATTTCAGAAAGGTACAACGGCGCAGCCTTTTCCAAACATATATGCCAACACCATAAAGTCAAAAATAGTTCAAAACAAATGAAGAGGAATTTATTTTTGTCTTATAATGGTAATGATGTTAATTGAGATGTTTTATCCTAATTCTTCCTAGTGGGATATGATATTTTTATGCCCATTCTTGCGGCGGGACTTCCTCTACGTAGTACTAAAATAATAGAGTTGACACTATGATCCATGAAATAATAACGATTAGATATATGGATGGGTTGACTCACTTGATTAGTGAAACCAACCCCAAAGCCGAGTAGGATACGGCCCAAAATGAGCATAGCAATATTTTCAGCACCTCCATTAATTGCACCACCGGCGAGGAAGACGGAACCACCCAACATGATGGTGTTTCTTCGACCGAGAGCCGCCGTGATTCGGCTAGCTACGAGAGATGAGATTAACCCAGCAAGGTACAGAGAAGAAGTGAATAATGTCAACACTTGGCTGTCATACACGCAGTACATGTTTACATCTACATCACCAGCTGCCTTTCTCAGTATTGATGGAAAAAATTTCTTAAGAAACGGGACCATCGTCGTGACACCTCCTGGAATTTGGTAACATTACCATTCACAAAAAAGGGTGAGTTTTGCATATCCAATTTAATTGGAAACTTCCATACGAGATCAATTTCAGCTTAATTGTCATATACTGTCGGTGTAAATTTTACGTTGTATCAACTAATCAAATAATTTCTTAAGCGTAATTTTCAAAATTATTATTGTAAAAATAAACTATTTTAGGAAAGTATTATAATCTATGATGGGTTAATAGTGTATAGTACATTTTAAGTAAGTACCATATATTTATGCAGATATTTGTTTCAACAAATCGTAAATTGCAATTAAAAATAAAGTTTTGTTGAGCTAGGCTTTAGTTGGCAGGCACTCATATACAATTAAAGGTTATTGCAACTTTGAAATGCAAACAGAACCAGCCTCACTCCACTAAGACGCTAACCCTGTCCATGTGAGAACCACAAAAGGCGGTCTTTTGACTTCGCGTGACAATTGGCATTTGCTAGTACTATCCAGGATAGAATTTCTTTTTCAAAAATAACTTTGGACCTTCGTTAAAACATCTTATTTATTAAATGACATAAATATTAACTATGTTTATTTTTATTTAATATTTTATAAAATATTAAAAACATAATATTAAATATTTTTTTATGTAATACCATGCTTGGAATATGCAAATTTTCTTCTCTATCTATTGAAACAATACGTTCGTTTAGGGCAAAGATTAGCCTTCAGTCGAAATTTAGTGGTATATATAACTCATAAAACGCAAATATAAAGTTATTTAAAAATAACATTAGATCAATGTACCAAAAAAGTAACATTAGTATAAGTATCTCCTCTTATTTATGTTATATCCTATTGTTCTTGTTGATTTTCCATGTCTAAAACGATCACCACAGCTAGTTTAACGTTGAAAACTTAAAGCCCTTTAACATAAAATATCAATATGCTCTTATAAAATGCTTTAGAAAGAGATTAATAACAGAAGATAAAAAAAGAGGAAAGACGTAATTAAGAAAATAAATTAACAAAAAATGACCTGAAATGCCGATGTCATATCCAAAAAGTAGTCCACTGGATGCAGCGACGATGCAAGTGATTACGACTGAAAGTGTTATCTGGCCAAGGAAATCACTGCCTGGTGCATTCACAGCGAACCCCCCACCAGCCATTTTGAACCTCTCTGGATATATCTGTGCTCCCTCAGGTTCTAATTATATTGCTCAGTCGATCTCTGTGCAGTGGCACTCATAATGAGAGATGAATAGCAACTAATTTATAGGCTAAGGGATTATTGGGTGGACGCAGTCTTTTGCAACTGGCTCTACATGTAAGAAACAGTACGTGTTGGATGAGTTTCCTTTTTAATAAATAATTGTAATTATATATGCTGATTAATGAATACGTTGTTAATCATACACGGAAACCTGCATTTAATTTATTTTTAATTTGTATTCGTTTACTATGATACATTCTTTTAGTTAAACTTTAATATAACAGATAAGTACAGCGCACACCCGACATGCAATGTGATAAAAAAAAATTTGTTCAATCTTTACTTCATCCAGTATCGTTTATTAGGTAGTAACTAATTAACTTTTCACTGTTTTGATGGGGATAGATACTCATAATCAACGTGGTGTAGAAGTCTTTTTTTGAACACTTCACCAATGTTTATCAAGATGAACCGCAATTTAGCGAGTAAGTTCAGGTTGGTATATATGTTGGGGCTAATCAATAAAGGAGTAATCATAATTTAAAGAAGAGAAAAAATTGTAAATCAAGATGATGCGATCGAAATTAAAACAAAATGAAAATAATATTATTTTAATTCAAATTACTAAATTATTGGTCAAACTCAAGTTCTTCTTCACCTTATTTACGGATTTACTTCGATGTGTTGAAAACTTCGTTCACGTGTTACAATATTTTTTTTTTCATGTAGAAGAAACTTTGCAAAGCTAAAAAGTGGACCCCTATTTTACTTTTATCAGAATCTGACAAACTATAAGAAACTTGGATGGGTTTCGTGCATGGTTAACCATGTTCTTCGTATGAGTTTTTCAACTCTATATTTTGTTTATTGATCATCTAATTATAATTTAAGATATTCATTTAAAATAATTTAATCATTTAATTTCTATAAATGCTTAAATTAATTTATATTAAAATATTGAAAAATAATTTTAACTTAAAATATAAAAATGTTTATTTTAAAATAATATTTAGACAAAGTTAACAAAGATTAGCACAACAATTTTAGTAATTGATTTTAAGCTTACAGGCTGGCCCAATCACCTGCAAGTAGGCGTGCATCAGGATAGGCCTAATCATCAAGTTGAGTCAAATTAAACCAAATCATATTATATATCAATTTCTCGACTTAACCCATACACTTTGTCAAGTTATTCAAATGAATACGCCCAGCATTTTAATATACCTCTGCCACATTAGTTTGAAGGAATTATGGATATTATTATTTTAAATGAATTTCCCTTTAAACTTATGATAAATAATCAAATAAAAAATGCATTACATTAATTCCTATATCAGACTCAACGTTACATTACTATTAATATAATTTATTGGTTAAAATATGAATATAAGATATATTTATTGATAGAAAGTCTTCCGTTGTATTTTCTACATCTACATGCAGCAAAACATGCTTTAATTACTTACAAAGTATTAGTATTAAATGTTCTAGGAATCGTACCAAATTGGATTGCTCCTCCATTGTTTAAAGTAAAATATGATAATGAGTTAAGAATGAATCAAAATTGTGAGTCAACTCATGGCACATATCAATTAATGACATTGAAAATATGCGTTGCCTTAGTCACGTAATATCATTTTTTCATACATGTCTTATACAAGGAGCTGTAATTTGCTGGTATACCTAAGCACTCTCACCTAACGTTATCTTTCCAAAGCAAGAGCTATAATATGACCAGGCTTACTATATTTATGTGAATAGCCTATAATGGTATTACTCCATTTGTTTATATAAGAATGACAGCCCCTCTTTACTGTATCTAATGCTCTGTCTTTATATATAAAGGGCAAGAAAAGTATTATTTGATTTTAAACTTTATGTTTCAATTTATTTCCTTTTAATTTAGTCCTTCTTGCTGTTCGGTGTGGTCTTCAAATATGAAATTAACCTTTTCTTTTCTTTTTCTTTAATCAGCAACAAAGGACTTATTAAGTAATAAAGCGTATAAAAGATACTCTAATCCTTAAAAAGTTACAAGTTACATTCCAAAACCAAAAAAGAACTTGCCGCCCCCTAAATTCAAAGAGACATGCCAAGCTACAAAACCAAGAAGGCACACCAACTAGTGACATACTAAAACTAAAATACATGCCAAAACCAAAAAAAATGCCAAACCCCAGAAGTTTTCAGGAAGTAAACATTGACAGGTAAAAAAAATATATACTAATAAGTGTCATTAGAATACTTATTAAAAATTTTCCAGCTAAATCAATCGTAAAAATTATTTCAATTTAATATGTAATTTTAAATTCGAGTTTCAATAAATGTATATAATGAATACTTACTTAAACATATTAACTCTGAAATTAAATAATACTTAAGACAATAAATTGCTACGATGACACTTTAATAATTACATGATTGAAATGAAAAATCTTATCAATTTAGTTGTAATATAGATTTGGATTCGGATTCTCTCTCCGTAACAGTGCAGCCTCAACTAAAAAAATTTCGGTCATTAATTTTTTATCTAACAGTTATAAAAAGTTATAATATTTTACAATTAATCAGTTTTATGTTTAATCGTAAGCTATACATTTATAAGAAACTAAAAAAATAAAAATATGCTACATGACGATATGATGAGAAAGTAAGTAAATAAATAATAAGATAACAAAAGATAAAAGTTAAGTACACGAAAATTATTGCTGATAATTTGCTCTCTTTCACTAACCCAGTGTCTTACAAATACTTACTATTTTTGTGGAGTAAGTTTGATATGATCAAACAAGCCTTTATTGTGGTAGAGTTTTTAGTTATACGTACACACAAAACATCTAGATGTAAGGACATTGCTAATAATTTTCACACTCAACTAACAAGCAACAAACCTAAATTGATATTCAGTTCATGGAAGATTAGCTTGGTCATCTACTCCTTTAACAAACCGCCGCCAAAACCAGTGTTTGCCCCATATGACGTACATTGATTCTAAAGGAATTCCTTTGGTCTCGGGTAAGAAAAATATAACAAAGATGGTCATCACTCCAATCCAAATCGCATAGAACAAGAAGGCGCCAAACTTAAAGTGGCAAAGCATTGTCAAGAATGTTTGGGACAACGCAAACAGTGTTATGAATTGCACCCCAACTGCTATGCTTTGCCCAGTGGTTCTGATTTTTAAGGGGAAAATTTCACTGGGAATTAGCCAGGTGAGAGGGCCCCATGACCAACCAAAACCTGCAGCGTAGAAACAGAGTAGCACCAACACCAAAATCGCGTTACCTTTCGATATCTCCTTCGTACCATGAATCCCGGTCACCATTGCTAGTAAGACAGAGACCGCAATCTTCAAAACAGTAACACAAATTGTCATTATCTGTACTGGTCACGTGTATTCAAAGCATGATTAATAATAAATATCAAACTAAATAACAAACGGGAGTAATTAAAAAGGGGGTGAAACTTTACAATTAATTGCATTATAACGATTTTATTAACGTTATTTTTATTAATATTGATTACCTGACAGGCAAACATGAGAATGCCACCGGTTATGAACAAGAATCTTCGACCAAAACGATCAACAAAAGAAGTGGATATGAGAATAGAAAGCAGGTTAACAACTCCAAGTATAATGGTAGAAAGTAAAGCTGCGTCATTTCCTAAACCCACAGACTGAAAGAGGTTAGGTGAATAGAATGCGACAATGTTGATCCCCGTAAGTTGCTGGAAAAAGGGGATAAAAAAGGCCATGACCAAGTGAGGGCGATATTGCCTCTCAAATATGGTCATGAAGGGCTCTTGGTCAATAGATTTAGAAACTTGTGACCAACTAATGAGTTCTTCCAACTCGGGTTCAACATCGACGGAGGATCCTCTAATTTTGCGCAAGGCAATTCTGGCTTCGTCAAATTTCCCACGTTCAACCAAGCTGCTTGGTGTGTCGGATATAAGGAACGCACCAACGGTCATTACTGCTGCAGGCACCACCGCAAGCCCAAGCGAAAGTCGCCAGCCCCAACTGTGCTTTGCAGTACCATAATTAATGCACCCTGCCGCAACTACACCCACTCCTAAGAAAAATTGGAAGCCTGTATTGAATGCACCTCGCCATTTTGGTGGAGCGATTTCAGACAGGTACAGTGGTGCAGCCTTTTTCAATTGTAAAATAACACCGTTAATTATCAAATAATACACACTTTTTAATGTCAATTTTTAATAATATAATATATACAGTCATTTTTAATAAAAAAGTAATTATACATAAATTTTTATTATATACCGTTAAAGATGTGTTGAAAAATTGAATAATATAATAGTATTTGTAGTGCATTCAATTATCAAATCTACCTAATTTTGTCCCATTCTGAATTTTATAAGAATTTTTTAATTTTAATTATATGTAATATTTTTTCTTAATTTGTTTTAAATTGTACACAATAAAAATTTAGATAAAATTTGTTAAGTGAAAAAAAATTAATATATTTTTATTTATTAATTAAAATAATGAACGAGAATAATTTTTTAAAAATAAAATTCATATAATTATTAATAATTTTTAACTATTAATATGAAAGAGTGTTGTAAAAAAGTTTTGATAGCAATTTTTAAAATTTATATTTTAAATTATATAATTCAAAATATTACAAAAAATTGATATTATTAAATGTTTAAAATTTTTAATAAATAAATATTTGTTATATTTTTATTATGTTTAATTTTTTTCGTGTATATATATTGGACCATAGGTCTGTATATGTTGACTCACTTGATTAGTGAAGCCGACCCCAAGGCCGAGAAGGATACGGCCCAAGATGAGCATAGCAATATTTTCAGCTCCTCCATTAATTGCACCACCGACGAGAAAGATGGCACCACCCAACATGATGGTGTTTCTCCGACCCAACGCCATCGTGACTCGACTAGCTGCAAGAGATGAGACTAACCCAGCAAGGTACAGAGAAGACGTGAACAACGTCAACACTTGACTGTCATACACGCAATACATGTTTACTTCGGCACCAGCTGCCTTTCTCAGTATTGACGGAAAAAATTTCTTTAGAAACGGTATCATCGTTGTCACACCTCCTGCAATTTCATGACATTTTAATTAGGAAAAATAAAAAGGGTGACAATTTTCAACTTCAATTCTATATAAATTATTTGATTTCTCATTAAATCACAAACATAAAAGGGTGTATTGTACAATTCATGATAATGTTTCTTTGAACAAATTTTCAATTTGGTTGAGTTATTTATTTATTGTTATATAAAAAAATTAAATAAATAATAAAATAATTATATAAATATTAATTATGACTATTCAAATAATAGAATTATACCATTAAAGATCATTGTAACTTTGAAATGCAATTAGAACTAGCGTCACCCAGTGGTAAGACTCTAGTTACTACTTCGAAATCACGAAAAGAAGCATTTTTGGCATTTGCCATTGCTATGCGAGATAGACATTTTACCCCCTGATATTTGGTATGTTACGGAAGCATGTTCTTATTAGGCAAATATGGATGTTCTTATTTGGTATGATATATTTTTAACGTTTTATCGTTAATTAAATTTATTTGAACCTTATTTAATATTTGATGAAAACAAATACAGTTTATTTAATAATAAAAATATATTAAGAAGTGTCAGAGAACACATATTACTGTTAACATCATTTATAAGCTGCATCAGGGAATTTCTACTATATTATTGATGTAGCTCTAGCCTGTTCTTGATTTTTATGCACAAAAGCAAAATCATCGTTGAACGCTTTAACCAGACCCTTTTTGAAAGCAAACATCTCTTGTTAGATGCTTTAGAAAGGGATTATTAACAGGTCGATAGTATATAAGAAGAACAAAAAGGAGGAAAAGAAATTGTAAGGAAACACAATAACAAAGGGATAAAAACCTGAAACTCCGACGTCATATCCAAAAATAAGTCCACTCGACGCAGCAACGATGCACGTCATGATAACTGAGATTGTTATCTTGCCATCAAAGCCTTTTGTTGGTGCATCAACGGCGAATCCCCCACCGGCCATTTTGAACTTTTTCCGTTGATCTGCTTCACAGGTTCCAACTAGCAGGTTCGCTACTTATATATTTCAACTAACCCTATGCAGAGACCCACATAACAATAAGTAGTGGGATCTAATAATTTCTAAGCTACGGCCCCACACAGAACAAAACGATGGAGTTATTTTCTGATAAAAAAAATGTCATTATCTACATTATTGTTTACATTGGCAATCATTCACAACAGCATTAGATTTATTTTAGTAGTTGTTGACTATGATACATATATTCTTTCAACTAACCTTGACTAGAATTAATACATCAGTACAGCATATGCAGTCAGCAATGTGATAATTATTCTACACTTGGTTCTTACAAAGATCATTTATTAAGTCGCAGCTCAACACTTCATTTCGTTACCTTATAATATGTACATTATTAAGGAAGAAATATGTCAAATCTTCTTTTATATTCTTTAGATCATACTATTTTGAAAGAAAAACAATTTTATTTGAGTTAAAATATTTACAGCATGATGAAACTACTTCTTCCAACATCCAAACTTTACTTAAGAGTAGTTTAGCTTGTACTATATGAAAAATAAATATAGGAAAATCATTTTTATTTCAGTTTTTGTAAATTCAAGCAACAAAATTTTAAATTAACCTCAATATCTTCAAATTTATATAAATACGCAACAAACACTATCATTTACTAATAAACAAAAATTATCATTTATTGAGATAGCCATTATTATAAGTGTAGTCTTTGTCCAATAAAAAAATATTAGCATGGACTTTGAAAGTTTATATTAATAAATAATAAATTGTAGTAACATTTAATGTATTGACAATACATATTAATATTTTAACTAATAAAATTACTTGTTAGTATAATGTTATTGTAAATTTATAATATCTTTACTAACAATTTAATTTTTATTAAAAAATTATATGAACTAACGAACACTAATATAATATTAAATTGTTATTGAATCATATTTTAATACGTTATTATCTTTAGAATCCGTTAACCCAAACTATTATGGTTGATTAATTTATTATTAAAGATTTATTTGATTTAAAATTTTTAAATATCAATGAAAAATTTTAAATAAAATTATGTTACTTTAAAATTTGAGTTCTTGTCACGCACTTTACAGAAAACCATTAATTAACGATCAACCGTTACTTATGCACAAAATTTATTAAAAAAATGTCTTTCTTAACGTAAAGTTGAGTCAATGTAAAACAAAAGGCATCTTAAAAGGAAGACCAACAATTAAGAAAAAAAATAATGCTTACATTTAAAATAGAAAGAGCTTGTTCATAAAAAAAAAGACCCCAGAAAGGCACATGGTTTGAATTCTTTATCTATACAAGTCTATTCAAACAAATGAATTAGCAAGGCATCAAAATGGTGGGTCTACTCACAGTACTTAATCAATTGGTCGCATACTTTTATTATATTTAAATGCTTAAAATTAAATATAATAATTGTTTTAAAAATAACTCTTAAAAATTAATTGGTCGCATACTATAATTTTGTGTAGGTGTTTGAATAGACATATTAAAAAATATGAAATATATTATAATAATTTTGAGATAATAAATATTTTTATTTTGAAATTCTTAACACATTTAATTATTCGAATAAGGAGCTTTAATGTCCTGGCAGTAGCAAAGAGCATTACTCACTATAAATTATTCCAAGAGTGCGGGCTATGACTATGATACAAAACGAGCGGTCAAAGAAAAAGTGGTTAGCTGAGTATAGAGCTAACCAATAAGAAGAGTGGCAGATTTGCGTGGGCAGTAGTGGAAGTCCAACATAAGTGGACATAGTCTGCCATAAAGAAAGAAAGATTGTACATTCATTGTCAAACATTTATTATTCAATCCCTTTGTTCAATCTGTTCGACTATTGACTATTTGTGTGGGAGGAAACGGTGAAGAGAAAAACGCAACCATCAAGATTAACTCCTCCCGGGTTATTTCTTCTCTTTTTACTCTTATCATTTAAGTTGTATAAAGTAGTAAATTACTCGCATTATTTTATATTTATTTTACAAAGATTTATTTTTTTACATTTTTCAATCAAACCAATGCAAAATCGTTTTGTTTTTTATTAATTTATTTTTCAGCCCTATTTCTTATATATATATATATATATATATATATATATATTAAAAGAAAAACTTTATATTGAAAAGAAGAACAACATTACTAGTATATACTCTCTCCCATAGTATTTATAAAAAATAAAAGACAAAATTACTATAATCAAGCAAAATAATTAATTCAATTATATTTTTTATGAATATATATTTTATTCAAAAATAATTATAATATTAAATAATATAATTAGTGTAATTATTGTTTCGTAAATATACATTTAATAATAAATAAAAGGTATAAAAATAATTAAATAATTAATACATCTTAAATATATTATATAATTTTTATACGTAAGACAAAAAAATATTCCAATTTATTTTTTATAAAAAATTAAAAAGAGTATTTCTGTATATTTAGAGGGACATAATTATATATTTTTTCTGCTTTATAAACAATATCTTATATAATAGTTCTCAGTTTTTCTCTCATCTTTAATTTTGAATATTGTATGAGAATTTCTTTGTCTCTCTTAAATAGTTACATATATGATTTTATCAATTATTATCAATTTTAATTTCCATGTATGATAACTTGGTATAGTTTGAGTGAATTTTTAGAAAAATAAAAATAAAAAATTAATATAAATAATAAATATTTTTTTATAAATTAAACACACTTTATTTTTTTAAAATTTTAAAAAATTAAATATTTTTAAAAAATTTCTCAAAAAACACAAAAGTATAAAATATTTCTAATTTTTAAGAGAAATATTATTTAATTTTTATACTAACCTTTTTTTCGCTTATCAGAACTTTTTTAAAGTTAATCCAAGTAGGACCAATATCTGATATATTTTGCTTCTTTTTAAGACACTTGACATCATTATTATTAATATTTTTTATTTTAAATTATTAATTAATTTTCAAATTTTTTTCCATATCTCAACTTACTCAAATTAATTATTTTTAATTTTTATGTTAAAAATCCTTTTACATCTCAAGCTTTAACTAATTGTACCTTGAAATTAATTAGTTTCATATTTTTGAAAAAAAATTCTCTTAAAGTTATGTTATTTATATGTTTTATTTATTTAGTTAAATTAATTAATTCTTTATGAGCATGTAAATTAATAATATATGAGTTTTGTTAATATCAGTCTTTAAAATTGAATTTAAGCATTCATAAATAAAAAATTATAAAAAAAATGTACATTTATTATATTAAAGTTATAAAAATATAAGAAATATTTTTCTATAAAAATATATAAATATATCTCTTTGTAATAAAATTTTACTATTGTTAACTACTTATTTTTAGCCTTAAGGATTAAGGTTAATACAACTCATAATATATTTATAAAATTATAAAAATTGGACCATTATTTTTCCCTTTGATTTAACAAAATCCATTGCATTGACTCTTCAATATTTGCACGATTGAAAACTTAATACAAACTAATAATTAATACTCTTGCACTGGACCAATGCCTTAAAATAAGAGTTTTGTTAATTAAAGTTCTAGTTAAAACATTAATAAATAAAAATTATTTAAACCATGCTAAAACTATACGAAAAGTTTTGATAGAAATATCTAAATAATATTTTTAATGGAAATTATTTTTAATTTATCATCCAGTATATTTAAGATTTATTGTAGAAGAGTTTAATTCATAGGTACACACAAAACATTGAAGCTGTAAGAAGGATAGTGTCAACAATTTTTACATTCAACTTACAAACAACAGAACTTAAAGTGATATTTAGTTCATGGAAGATTATCTTGCTCTTCTACTTCTTTAACAAACCGTCGCCAAAACCAATGTTTGCCCCATATGGTGTACATTGATTCTAAGGGAATTCCTTTGGTCTCGGGCAAGAAAAATATTATGAAGACGGTCATCACTGCAATCCAAAACGCGTAGAACAAGAAGGCGCCAAACTTAAAGTGGCATAGCATTGACAAAAATGTTTGGGACAGCACAAATAGTATTAGGAGCTGCACCGCAACAGCTATGCTTTGCCCAGTGTTTCTGATTTTTAAGGGGAAAATTTCACTTGGAACTAGCACGGCTAGAGGCCCCCATGAAAAACCAAAACCTGCAGAATATAAGCACAGTAGCACCAATACCAGCACAGCGTTACCCTTTGATACGTCCTTTGTACCATGAACGCCGGTCACCACAGCAAGTAAAACCGACACCGCAATCTTCAAAATGGTTACACAACTTATGATTATTAGTGATACACATGTGTATCAGAAGTAGGGTAAACAATTTTAAAGAGAAATACTGACACACAATATTCACTGTTACATTTAATTTTTGTGATCACAGAACTCTTGTTATTTAATGAGAAGCCTATGGATTTCACTTAATAATAATAATAAGAAGAAGAAGAAGAAAGAAAGAGTGCATGATTTTGTTAGCAATAATTTTCTTAAGTAATTAATACATTTTTATTAAAAATATTTATTTTTTATATTTTTATGTAATAAATACTATTTTTTAAAATGAAAATCATATTAATTTTATATGATTAAAATTAGTATTAAAAACTAATGTTAATATTTTAAAAAAAATGTGTTGCTATCACTCTTGAATTCTAAATAGTTGATTTACTTTGCTAAATACCTGACAAACAACCATGAGAATGCCACCAGTTATGAACAAGAACCTTCGACCAAATCGATCAACAAAAGAAGAGGAGACGAGGTTAGAAGAAAGGTTGACTACTCCAAGTATAATGGTGGAAAGCAAAGCTGCATCACTTCCTAAACCCACAGACCGAAAGAGATTAGGTGAATAAAAAGCAACGATATTAATTCCCGTAAGCTGCTGAAAAAAAGGGATGGCAATTGCCATCACCAATTGCGGTCGATATTGCCTCTCAAATATTGCCATGAAGGGCTCTTGCTTTATAGATTTAGCAATTTGTGACCACCTAATGAGTTCTTCCAACTCTGGTTCCACATCGATGGAGGATCCTCTAGCTTTACGCAAGGCATTTCTGGCTTGGTCAATCTTGCCACGTTCAACCAAGCTACTAGGCGTGTCAGATATAAGAAAGGAACCAAGTATCATCACTGCTGCAGGCGCTACTGCAAGGCCAAGAGAGAGTCGCCAACCCCATGTGCGCTTGGCTGTAGCATAATTTATGCACCCTGCAACGACTACGCCAACTCCTAGGAAGAATGTAAAGCCTGTGTTGAATGCGCCTCGCCATTTGGGTGGAGCCACTTCAGAAAGGTACAACGGTGCAGCCTTTTTCAATTGTAACACCGCACATAGTTAATAAAATATTAAGTATGTTCTTATTTATCTGTATCCAAAAAATCTTTCTTATCTGATAATATTCAAATTTAAGATAATATCAATTACTTTGTATTAATTTTTTACTTATATGCAAATTTTAATTACAATATATAAATTATTTGCATTACTTACGGCTAAAGAAAGACAAAATAAGTAAAGGGTAAATAAAAAAGATTTCAAGTAATTTTAATAAAATAATTTGATTTCTTAATTTGTAATTTTTCATTTTAAATCAATCGAATGAAATGAAAAATATTGATTATGGCACATATGTTTATTATATATTTGTTTTCATTTTTTTTCTTTCTTTTACGTTACAGTTATTAATATTTTATTTCTTTCTTTTTTAAGTGTATACAATTTAAAGTGTGAATCATCTGTTCTATTAAATTTAACAAGGAGAACATGCATACTCTTTTTTTTATTATTATAGATTTGACTTTCTTAATTTCAAAACCTTTTTTTTTGTCTAGTGCAAGCTTTAATTTCAAGGTAATTGTTGTTAAATGTTATTTTATTTATGTTTACCAAATCTTAGAATGATTAATTATTAATTTTTCATTTTATTTTATCTTTCAATATATTCATAAATAAAATAAAAATATCAATAAAGTATAAAAGTTGTATAATCTAATATATCTCTCAAAATTTAAAGATAATGATTTTTAAATTTGTATACATACCCTAAAATTATTATTATTTTACAACGAATCAAGTAGTTTCAATATATAATCAAAGTCTCAACAATCTTGTTCTACCCGATCCCAATTTCACAAATAGATAAATATTCATTATATCAGCATCAAAAGATATGTTTCATATTTATACTTTCGTTAATTATAATTATTCAAAATGGATATCAAGTTATGCTTGTTAAAAAAGCTCATCAACCTACAACCTCTATATATTAAATGTTGGTCAATTTTGAACTATTCTAAATTAGAGCATTTTTATGAACTATCTTAAAGTGAAGTATTTATTATGAGTTGTTATAGTACTCATTATGGTAAGTGACTTTTTTTAATTAAAATTTTAAATTTTAAAAATTGTATTCTTTTTATTTTATATATGATGTATAAGTTGACTCACTTGGTAAGTGAAGCCGACCCCAAAGCCGAGAAGAATACGGCCCAAAATGAGCATAACAATATTTTCAGCACCTCCATTAATGGCACCGCCGGCGAGAAAGATGGCCCCACCCAAAATGATAGTGTTTCTCCGACCCAACGCGGTGGTGACTCGACTAGCTGCAAGAGATGAGACTAACCCAGCAAGGTACAGAGAAGACGTGAATAACGTCAACACTTGACTGTCATACACACAGTACATGTTCACATTTACATCACCAGCTGCCTTTCTCAGTATTGATGGAAAAAATTTCTCAAGAAACGGTACCATCGTTGTCACACCTCCTGGAATTTCATTACATTTTTATTAAAAAATAAAAGAGGATAACAATTTTCACCTTCAATTCTATATAAATTAATTTTTATTTTTATTAGATCGCAAACTAAAAATGGAAAATGTTAAATTTAGCTCTTAAAAGATTATTACAAGTAAATAATAACAATAAAATTTATTTTAAAAAATTATTTATTCTAGTTGTAATTTTAAAATTATGAATATGTGCTTTTTCTATAAAAAAAAAATCTATTTATAAATACGTAAAATAGCCCTCACATATAACTATAATTGATTGCAACTTTGAAATGCAAGCGCTAAACAGAACTAGCGCACCGAGCATGACGCTAATTACTATGTGCAAATCATAAATCCAACACTTTTGACTTCGTGTGACCATTTCCATTTGTCATGGTATAACTTTCTTTTTTAGGAAAAATATTATTTTTATACTTTATTATTTAGGAGAGTAAAATAGATGAAATAATGAGAGATAGAAAAAAAGTATGATAAAAAATAAATATAAAAAGTATAAAATTATGCAAATTACTTTTTCAATGCTAGGTTTGTCTTTGGTAGGTAATAAATTGACGCTTTGACGGGCCACAAATAAACCATCTGTTTCCCCGATAGATTTTGTTTTTAAACTTTTATTAACACCAGTTTTAACTGATTTTTAATTAATAAAGAATAATAATTATCTATTTTAAAGAATATTTATTATATATTTAATATTTATTGTTTAATGAAATTTTATCACTTTAAAATATTTAATATTAACTTTAAATTTTGTCAATATTTTTTTACACAAATATTTTAAGAACAAATACTGTTAAACTTAAGTGATAGCAAAAACATAAAAGTTAAAATAAATGCGAATGCTCATTGTTGTTAGATTCCGTGGAATCGGTAAGGGGATCTTTGCTTATCCGTATCACTGTTGTAATTCAATAAATTAAATTTTCATTGTAAAAAGTTATGTTAAAATCTGTATGCAAGCTTATTCATATTGACCAAAGATTAATGTACGCTGGAAAATTATCAGAAACTTATAAATAGTTTGAATTACAAAAAAGAAAAAGAGGAAAATTTTTTGTAAGAAAACAAATTAACAAGTAAAAAAAAAAAAACACCTGAAACACCGATGTCATATCCAAAAATTAGGCCACCGGATGCAGCAACTATGCAAGTGATGACAACTGAGAGTGTTATCTTGCCATCAAAGCCTTTGGCTGGTGCATCAATGGCGAAACCCCCACCCGCCATTTTGAACTCTATCCGTTTAGCTGCTTCACAGGTTCCAATGTAGCATCTTATTTATATAAGCTAAGGCCTCACACGGAAGAAACAGATTGTTTTCTTTTCTTTTCATTTACTTATTAAAATATTCGATCTTGTTAACATCAATGTAAACATTTATTTTTTAAATATTACGTCGTGATCTTGGTAATCATTCACTGCGACGTTGATTAAATTTATGTTAGTATTTGTTGACTATGATACATTCTTTTAACAAACCTTGACCATAATTCATCAGTACACCATATGCAATGTTGATAGTTGTTCTATCTTTGGTTCTTACTGAATCATTCAATAAGCAGAACCTAATACACTGCATTCTGTCACCTGAGTATACGCATTGTTAAGGAAAAATTGCATTGCATTGAATTTATCTTTATCTTTTCTTATTTAAATCACAGACATTTTGTGTTACGAACAGTTTTATTTAAATCGAAATATTTATAATATGATGAAATTAATTCTTATAATATTAAGACCTTATTTAAAAATATTTTGACATATACCACAGGAACAAATTATTTTTTGATGAATCACCTTTTATTTGAATTTTTGTAAATTCATACTTCAAAATTTTAAATTTATCTGAATCGATACTTAAATTTATGTAAATATTTTATTATGTCATTATCGTTAAAATCCGTTTGCCCATATTAATTCTATTGATTAATTTATTATTAAAGACATTGTTTTATTTGAAATTATAAACTACAAATGAAAACATTTTAAAATATAAAATAATTTTCCCTCAACTTTTCTATTCTTGCTTATTAGATAATTTTTTATCTTTAAAACTCCTTATATTTTATAATTAAAAGAGCAGAAAAGAGATTTTTAAGTGATAACCATTAAAAAAATATTCTCTTCTCTATAAGCCTACCATTATCCAAAATTCGAGTTTAATTGATCACTGCATCGTAAAATAGAGACTAACAACTAAGAAAGAGAGCGTTTTCATTTACAAATTACAAAAGAAAGATATATTTTCATTTACAAAATTAAAAAAAACATTTTTTAAAACTAAAATCTCTCTTTTTTTTAATTTTAGAAAACATAGAAGAGTTAGCCAGACAAACACGCGATTTGAATGTGTTGCCTAAGTCTATTCAACAATGAATTAGCTCGTGATCAAATTTGTATGTCAACTCACTGCACTTATTAATGAAAAAAGTTCCGTTGATAAAAAAAAAAACTAAAAGTTGTTCTTTTTAAATTTTTATTTTAGAATGTATTTTCGAGATACTTGTATTAAAAAATTACAACAGAGCAAATAAAAAATTATATATAATATTAATTTATGGATGTACAAGTTATTAAATTTCCTAACAATTGATGAGATAAAGAAATTTTGTTTTTAACGTGTTGCGTACACTGAATTTTTTAATAAGAAGCTTTAATTTGCTTGGCACTAGCAGCCACTACACATTCACCTAACATTTATTTCTAAAGCTTGAGCTACTACAAAACCAGGATTACGATATTTAAGTAAAAAGCTAATCCTGATAATATTCCAAGTATTCATTAGGCGAAAATGAAAGGTACCTCTTGTTTACTTCTTCAAAGCTCTGACGTTAGAAACTTTCATATACAATTCCAAGTGTGGCTATGGGGGCTTTGATACTGACATATATACTATAGAAACAAAACAAACGGTCAAATAAAAACTGGTTAACTAAATATGAAAACGTTAAAAGGAACATATTTAAGTAAAATAGAAATAGAAATAAAAAAAATAAAAATAGAAATAAAATAATAATAATATGTATATATTAATTTAAATATAAATAAATTAAATATAGGGCTAACCAATTGGAAGAGTGCCTGATTTGCGTGGGCAATACTGGAAGTCCAATAAGGGTACATAGTCTGCCATGGAAGAAAAAGGGTGCATAGTCAAACATTTATTATTCAATTATGGATGGAACGTCTATGTGCAAGGCAACACTGGAATTTTTATCAAAAAATCAAATCAAGCCGTCACGATGTTGAATCAAGAGTTTATATCCGAATTTCATTCTCCCAACTAAAGCTACCCTCAAGCACATACTTTGCTCACAAAAAACAGCATGAACAAAGAAGAATAGGAACAAATTTGTTTTTGAAAAGGTCACTGAAAAAGGGTACTTTGGAAATAAGCATGGACCAACAAAGCATTTGGTAGTCTAGAGATATATAAGTCGATTTTTATTGCTAACTATGGCGTAATTATGTTTTCTTATTTATTAAATATAGTATTTATTAGTTACTGTAACAGAATATAAAATAATTTAAGATTAATGATATTCTTATAATATTTTTACGAAAAAAAATATAATTTAAGCAAAAATATAAATAAAATAGGTTATATGATGGATAGAGAGAAAACAAAATTTATTATAAAAAATGTTATAATAATTTATTGTAGATATCATTACTCAATAATTAAATTATGGTTGATCGATCAATATACCCTAACACTTTTAGTAAAAATAAATTATTTTATTTTAGTAATTAATAAATTTTTTTAATATATATATATAGAGAAATAGAGATAGAAAAATGCATACATTTATCAAAGTGAATAATTTTTTTCAAATAATCTTGAAATTAACTTTAAATATATATATATATATATATTAAAATAATTTTTTAAGATATACTAAGTGATACTATACACACACGATGACTAAAGTAAGATAGTATTTTATACAATTTAACAATAAGTTAACGTGATGATATCGACTATGACATTGTATGAAACTTTTAATTATAATAAGTATGCTACGTATGAATATAACGACAAAAATAAAATGATTTTATTCTATTTGAATTAGTTAAAATTGATATAACAAATTTTAAAAGTTATAAAATAGTATTTTATATGACTTAGTAATAAGTTAGTGATAGAATTTTTAAAGCTTAATTATATTTTTGTTTCTTGTAAAGTTAGTATATTTTGTAATAAGTTTTTATAAAAAAAATTTATTAAGATTTTGTCTTAAGTTAAAAAGTTAAGATTGAATTTCTGGTGTTAATTTCCTTGGTTAAATACTGAGCTGAAATAGAAAGTTAGTTTAACATTGTCACATTATAATATGTTATTTATTTTATAATATTTTATTATTTAAAATAAATATTTACAAAAATATACTTAAGCACATTCTTCATCCTTCAATCCCAACTTCTACCTCCACTTTCACCCTCACCTTCACCCTTACTCCCCCTCCTTCCTTGCAACCCGTCCACCCCCAACCCCAACCCCAACTTTCCAATAGTTCTTCCCCTTTCTCTCTCACTCGACCAAACTTTCATTCTTAACTGCAGACCCAAACTCATTCTCAACTCCAATCTCATCCTTATATTACAAATACTTCTTTGCACTTCATAATTCTTTCACTCTCGACGGCACAATATGTTGATGGGATTTGAAACTTATCATATTTTAATGTCTCACTTATTTCCAATAACAAGTAGAATTTGGTTAAAATTTTATTCAATCATAAAGTGTATATTTGTAACCATTTTAAAGAGTTTAATAAAATATAACATAATTATAAAATATATATTTAGAAAGAGGTGGAGTGGATAGGGTAAAGGAAAGGAGTGGGGTAAGGGAAAGGATTGGGAGTAGGTGAGGTAAAGAAGAAGGGGTGTTGGTGTGGATTGAGGGTGAGATGAAGGGAGGGGATGAGTGGTGTAAAGAAAAGGAGGTGTAGAAGAAAGGGATGGGGTTAGAGTTATGTGTGAGGTGGGCAGAAAGAAGATGAAGGGGAGTAGAAGACAGACCTTTTTACATGTATTTAGAAACTTTTACAAATATCTATTTTAATTTATAAAATATTATAAAATAAATGATGTGATATGTCATGTGTCAATGCAAAGCTGATTTTTAGTTTGCTAGCACTTGATGAAGAAAAGTTGACAGCAAAAACATAATTAAGTCAACTTTTAATTATAATGAATACCCTATGCATGAATATAAAAAATAAAAATAAATTAATCTCATATCACCTTTTTCTCAAATTAACTAAAGTTGTTATAACAAGTTTTAAAAGTTATAATATCTATAATTTAATTTTTAATAAATTTTGTACGCTAAAGATCAAATATTAATTTTGTTGCATAAAGAGATTCAAGTATTAGTTATTAAAACATATCTTTTAAAGTATTTTTTACAATTATTATATATTTTATTTTATATTATTTTAAATTAAATAAAAATATTTTAAAATAAAGATAGAATTGAAAATATAAAATAAAAATATAATCAAACATAAATTTTAATATCAATAAAAAAATCAAATTAAACATTTTTTCTATATTTTTAAAAAATGTACTAAAAAAAATAAAATGAAGTAAAAAGAGTAAAGCAAGTAAAAACAAATAAAATTAGATACTTGTAAAATGAATCAGATGAGATAAAAATACCTAATTCATGTACTAGAAAAAAAAATGACAAATGTAAAAGTTTCATATCTTTCAAGTCACACGTTATGTTTTACCAAATCAACATTTCTTTAACTTAAATTTAATTATAAAATTGGTAAATTTTTATAAAAATTAAATAATAAATATATAAAAATTAATATTATTAATTCATAAATCTTAATTTGTTTTTTAAAATATATCTAATGATCTAAAAATTTAAAATATATGTAATAATTTAAATAAATTATCCAAGTAATAAAAATAAAATATAAAAATTATTTTTCTAACTTGTCATGTATTAATATAATAAGTACTAAAATAAAATAATTCACAAAACAAGCTATCATATTTTTTTTTTATGTACTATCTTAACCATTAAGATAATGAATAATATTTTTTAGAACATTAGAAAGATAATTTAAATATAAATATATATAAAAATAATAATTTAAATAAAAATACTTGATTATTATAATATGAGACTAAGTCGTTAAATTTTATTTAAATAGCTATGGTAAAAAGAAATAGACAAAAGTCGTCACTACTAACAAACTTTCAATCTTGATTATTTATATATAGAAAATAATTTTTTCATATTAATATAAATTTAAAAAATTTTATATTCGATCTCAGTCTTTCATAAATAATAAATTATAATATTTTATTTATAAATTAAATAAAAGGTTTAGATCAAATGTAAATTTTAGATTTATTCTAGTGCGAGAAGATTAGTCTTTATATATATATATATATATATATATATATATATATATATAATTTAAATAATAATAATAAAATTAGATGTTATATGAATTACAAAATAGATATTTATTTAATTAAAAGCATTTTTCTCAAATCATTAGAATTCTTAAAAATTGAAACCAGAAACAAAATCTAAATCTCTAAGTTATTAATAATTAGAAACCAAATACCACGGAACAAATTAATCTGTGTACAAAATCTAGAAATTAAGAAGTCCTGGATGTTCCATATATAACAGACAACAGATGGAACAACAAAATAATACAAGACAACCTATTCAAAGCATAAGCTGGAAACAATACTTGCCTTGTGGAATGATGAGAGTGAGACCTGTCTCTCTCTCTGAAAAAACATAAACAAAAATACATACTTAAACTAATGGTTTATGCAGTTAGATATAAAAATAAAAAAAGACTACAATTATAAATTGTAGCTGAGTCTAGTGAAAACAACAACACATGTGACTGTTTCACATCACTTCTTGAGTAGGCTCCCAGAGAAAATCCTCTTGCAATATGGACTGGTGCGCAAGATTTTGTGAGGACGAACTGCTTCAACTAAAGATGCATGCAGAGACCCCTGTTTAAAACAGATAGACACATAATCTTTAAGTTATATCAACTTTAAGCTACAATGACAAGAGAGTTAAATCATTTTCTTCAAACCTTAGTAACAGTTAAAGCAGATTGAATGACATAGTTGGCATATGGGTCTTGCAGCAACTGTTCAAAGTGAGGGGCAGATAGCAATTCTCGAACTATTCTTGATCTGCTGTCTCCAATGTGCTTAAGGCATTTTTCAACCACGTGACTGCTAAATTTCTGAGTAGACATGTTTACATAATTCCCTTTGAACTGACCAAGCAGTTTGCTTGACGCATTTGGGGTCTCCATCTCTATAATATATTGAACAACATAGTTTCTGCACGATAGTTTCAGTCAGCTTTAGCTTAGAATTTCACATTAATAAATATTAAATTATAAACTCTAGAACAACTTATGGATAGAATTATGACCACTTCCACATCATGTTGCAATGTTTTCAACATCTATGTAAAACTGAACCTGATTCAGGAAGAAAAGCAATAAATAAATAAACAAACTAATATAGACGAGGATCAAATGCAAATTACCCAAATGGATCCTGAGCAAGGAGAAGCCCGTGTTTGCAGATTTCTGTGACCAGCTTATCTCTTTGTTTTCCCACTGAGTGATCAATGCAACGTTGCAGTACACAGCATCCATGTCGATGAGTTGCTATGTCAACACAAAACTTCACGGCAGCTTCAAAAATAAACTGCCATGATGATAAGAGAAACAAGAAACAACTTCACCAAGAGGCTCCACGGAAACAAACAATGCATTAGATATTAAACCATGATATTTAAAACACCCTGTGAGTCATTAATGGCAATGCAAGTTAGAGAAAGATTGGAAGTAAAAAGAAAAATGACATAGCACAGAAAGAAAATGGAAATTAAAAAATGTAAAAAAGTAGTATCACATAGATCAAGGTGAATTCTAGTTCTAGGATCGAAGAAGGTAGACTCAATAAATACCGAACTTGGCTGTGATGACTAACCTTTTCGTAACTTCTGATGATAAAGATCAGACAAAAGCATATGACTTGTTAAATAATAATGTATCACACAGATTATCAACAAGAAAGAGGCCAGAGAAACTGTCCAACACTAGAAACATATGAAGCGGGTAATGAAATAGTTTAAGCATCACTGTATGAATACAATATATAATTCACATGATATGAAGGTATAAGGTATAAGACTTAAATATAAGATGAATACTCACCACTCAATTTATGTTGATTAATATGAGATGAATTTGAAGCTAAATTACTTGACTTTTTGTAAGTTTGTTTCATTTAAGAGGAATAGTTAAAAGCCTTACCTACCTATTCCTTATGCCTTTGATATACGCATGCAACGAAAGAGAGAAACGGAGATGCATAACTAATTCCCATACTAGACAATGTCAAATCAAGGTTTGTATTAGGATAATATGACTGCTATGGCAATACTTTTCTTTCTTTGACATGTAGATCTTTCAGTGAGTCAGAAATGTCTAAAATAAGTAATGCTACTAAGAAGCTAGTTTCTCTTCACAGTACGCACATGAACACTGCATTGCCATACAGTTACTTGCATAATAATGTTCAAGAAATACAAAAGAACAAAACTAGGGTAAAAAAATGGGAATAAAATTGACTGCGAAACCTAAAAATGGTACAAGAGAGAAGTGTGGTACACTACCTGATTATCTTGACAGCTAAGGCATTGCAAGCAACGTTGTATGACGTGGTTTCCATTCAGATCCTTAATAAGATCAAGAAAACCTGGCTGAATAGCAGACTTCACCAATGAAATTTGCTTAGCGGAGTTAAGGGTCTCAATCAGCTTCTGTACCACACGCGTCCTGTGGCATGAACACAAGTATTAACTCACCGAACAAAATAAAGCACTTGCTTTATCCCATAAATAAAAGAATAAGAATGAAATTCTTAATTACCCGTGTGTATTTAAAGAGATGCGAACAAGCTGTCCTGGATCCTTAGTCAACATGAGCACAATCTGCAACTTTTGTTCATCGTTGCAAACATCCAGCAACTTCTGCACAAGATAATTACCAAAAGAATCCATCATGAGTTCCACCACATTACCGATGATTCCCTCAAACACCGCACACATATTCTGATAGGTTCCCTCATCAACCAGGCGCTGCAGAAAGCGACAACCGTTTTGATCCTTTGCCATCTTATACATGTGACCTTGCACATCGTCAAGAGAATAAAAGTTCAGCAGCATGGGGAGTGTGAAATCACTACCGAGAGTGCCGTTATTCTCAAAAACATTCCCAGAAGGAGGACCATGAGAGAAGTTCTTGGGAACATTCTCCCCCGCAACCTCAGCTCGTGGACTAGTCCTTCTACAGCCCGTCAAAGAACCGAACCCGTTGTCAATGCAGTGTTTTACATCTTTCCCTTGTATGATAATACTGTTGTCACATCTAAACGCAGCAGGGTCAAAAGCACGTTCAGTGTTGTTCGTAAAAGCCCTTTCCTTTTCTGCACCATAAAAATGCGATGGAGCATTAGGATTCAAAGTCATTCCAGTGTGCGTCATCTGAGAGAGCCTAAACGGGCTCTTGACCCTCCAGCTACCTTCAGAATCCATTCCAGCTCCGAGAGCGTTTGAACCCATGAAACGATCACAGAGAAGCTGATAGCTACTAGTCCCCTGTTGCTCCTTCTTCCTCTGTTCCGCAACGTGATGATACATTTGATAAGCATCATCACGAGGGAGAGAGGAGCCAAATGGGGTGCCAAAAGTGTAACCTTTCCCAAAAGCCGCATTGGTAAGATGCTCATATACGAGGTTTCCTGGTTCACTGAAACAAGAAAAGGGAGCCTGAAAGGGACATGCATCGTATTCATATCCCCTGGTTTGGGTTCCATCGAAGACACTGATGTTCATCCTGGAGAAATCGTTGGAGAGTCCCAGATCATTAACCCACTTGGTGTCACAGAGATTGGAGGAGTCAGAGTCGAACCAGAATTTGTGATCGTTGCGAGAGGGTGCATATGGGTTGGAATGAAACCCGTTCGCAGAAGAAGATGAAGAAGGATTCACCCTGTTAACAGGGGACCCAACAGCCACGTGGTCAGGGTGAAGGTGATGATGAACGCGGAGACATGACGGCGTTGTTGGGGTGCTGGGAATCCCAACGAACCTTGTTTCTGGTTCTACGTCGTTGTTTCTCCTTGTGTCGTCTGATATCTTCAGCATTGTTGCTGCGATGGCGGATTTCAGAAACAGAATTGAATCCTGTTTGTTAATTTATATTTTAACGGCAAAAGGCACGTGAGAAAGGACGGAATTAGAAAGGACACGAAAGTGTGGCCATGAGAGTGATAGCATATGAATCTGGTTTTGATTTCATGGGGATTTGTGAAAAGAGAAAAGAGAATAAGGATTTTGATACTGACAGTGTCTAGTGTATCGAGGGTACTGCTCACGCCCACAAAGGAACAACCAGCGGCGTTACTAACAATAAGAAAGGCCCTTCTTTTCTCATACTCAGCTATTTTTAAGGGTGATCCAAATCGAAGCCATATTATCTGTTACAATCTTTCCATAATTCTGTTTTACTTTCTCATTGATTCGATTTGATTTTGTTTAATCTCTAGAATATTTTAGTTATACCTTATTTTTATTTTATTTTCTGCCCTGTTTTATAAAACCTTTATTCATATTAAAGGAAAGAGAATAAATTAAAAAGTGATATATAATAATAAAGGAAAGAGCATTTGGTGAAAATAATTTCTTGAGAATTATGTTCTTCTTTTGGAGGGATTATGTTTTTTAATAATCATGTTTTCTGTCAATTTTATTTTAAATAGTATTTCTTAAGAATATTAATACTTTTCAAAAATATTATTTTAAAAAATTTTAAATTGGAAAATTTAATTTACATTGTAATTCTTACTCAAAACATTTATAATAGAGCAGTGCTCGTTAATACAAAAGATTTTTAAAACATAAATTAACATGATTTTAAATTTTATATTTAAAATGTATAGAGAGAATGTGAGTCAGGATTTATTGACCAATGTTAAACTTGGAGCTTAGTAATTTTTTATTAATATTAAATTTATTAATTTAAAAGCTCTTATAAAATAAATTACTTTTATAAAAAATTTACACGAAAATAAAATTAACAAGTACTTTATCACAATATTCATAGGTATATTTCTTTAGGTTTAAAACCATTCAAGAATATAATTGAAATTTATATTATTAATTTTTATTTTTATAAAAATATAAATTTCTCGCCTTTTTCGTGAAAATATTTTCTAAAAACCTAATTAAAAAAATTCTAAAATATTATTTTATAGATTTTTTTTAAAATTGTACCAAATATAAAAATTTAACAATTTCTAACTGCAATATTTTAAAAATTTAAGAGAATTCCATATCAAGAACCCCCTTAATTTTAAATTTATTAAAATTATATTAAAACAATTATTAATTATGTTTTAAAGAGTAAAATCGTGTAAAAAATCAATGTGTTGAAAAATATATACATTGCCAATATATTTTAAAAAAGACAATTAAAATTTAACAAATCCAATTAAATACCATAGAGGTTAATAATATTTTTCTAATCAAACAATCCAAAATTAAATAAAAAAAAAAATCTATACACTATAAATATATTGAATTAAATTCATAAAATTATGTGGTTAAATTTATTTAAATATTAATACATTAATTTAAAAAATTGCACTCAATTTAAAAGTTTTTATTATAAAATAAATTTTATTTTTTATTTTAAATAATATTTCTATCCAATAATTTTTTTATGAATAACTTCTCTCACTACATCTGTGAAAAAAAGCAAAAAAAAAAAAAAACATGCTGCTAACTTAATTAATAAATTTTAAATTTCATCATAAATTAAGCTTGTTTTATTTGTCATTAATTAAATATATGTTATATTTTTATAAAATTAATTAGAAATAATTTAGATGAATAAAAATTAAATTAAATAAATTTTATTTTGAGAAAATTGTTTTATTTATTTTATACTTGTTTTTTATAATAATTCAACAAAGTACATTAAGCGCTTTCAATTAATATTTTAAGAGTATTTATTAAATTTCTTTAAATTATTGATTAGATATCATTTAATATTTAAAAGAAATTTTATTTAGTGTACAATAAAGAGTCTCCAAGTTTTTTTTTTAAGAAAAAAAACGAGCAGCAGAAATAAGAATATGCAACGAATGCTGTTTCTTTTTGCTGAATTCGTTTTTATTTTTCAACAAGTCAAGAATATTTACTCCCATATTTTATGTATTGATCAGTAATTTTTTCGTATATGTCATGTATAATGTTAAATTAAATTATATTTCTAATTTAAAATTTAGTAAAATAAAAAAATAAAACTTGTTTATAATGATATTTTTATGATATTAAATAAAATAATTTTTATAAAATTAGTATTTAAGTTAATATTAAATAAAACTATAATATAAAAAAATACGTCATAACAATAATAAAAGCGTTAAAAAAAATATTATTTACAAATAGTTCAGAAACTGTTTCCTTCCGCGTTGAAGTAAAAAGTTATAAAACCTTTAGTTCTGAGAATTTAGTTTTCAAAAATTATATATAACGGTTGTTTCTTATAAAGTTCAAATACCGTGACATTTTATAAAAAGACTTTTACATTGCAGTGACGGCGGAAAGAAAAAAAATATTATATAAGAAGGCAAAATAAATTATAAGACAAAAATATTATTGTTTAAAATTTTAAAAATTGAAGACAAAAATAATTTATTTTAAAATAAAATTATTTTGTGGAAAAAATTTTAAAAGATTGTTTTGAATAATTCTTCTTATTTCAGATACTTAGAAGTGAATATTTATTCTAAAAGGTTAGATATAAAATTCAGTCTAAATACAATGAAGATTTATTGTTAAATTTTAGGTACTCTCTGTTTTAATTCTGAACTGTTCAATGAAAAAAGTTTCCACTACATCATTCATGCTTTTGATCTAATGTCGTGTTATCGCAGTCACACATTTAAATAAAAATAAATTTGAAAAACATTTTTTCATAATTTTTTTAACATTCTTTATTATTAAATATATTTTATTAAATAATTTAAGCTTATTTTTTATTTAATAAACATAAATTTTGTCTAATCTTAAAAAATATATTTAAAATATATGGTCGGCCTTCTTTAAAATGCAAATAATAATAAAAATTTTCAACAATAAAACAAATAGTTTCTATGTTATTCTTTTTCACGCAGTATACTTGCATCTTGCCAATGGATTTATCTTTTATGTTATCGAGAATATCACTTTGGCAATGGATATTGGTATAATCGCATTAATTGGAACAAAACTTTTCCTTGTCTTTATGAAAAATTAAGATAATTATTTGTTCTACTATAAAATAATTTTTTTATAATTAAAAAATAATAGTCTCACATTCTTTATGCAACACTCTATCGAGTTAATTTCAACTCCATTTTCTGAAATGATTCTTCTGTGTTCTCTGGTAGGAAGATAATTGAAAGAATAGTTACAATCAGAAATGGAATTTTTCCAAAATGAATATAGGTTTCATCATTTATCTTAAAAATAATTACGACCTAGTATAAAGAATTTCTGTCGTCCTATAATTATACATACCAGCCACTGGCTTAAACCGGCATAATATTTCATTTTTTGTAAAGTACTTTCAACTAATTTAATCAAAAGTTAAAGTTAGTTATTTTTTAAAAAATAGTATGATTTAATAATATTATTCTTATTTAATGTTATTAAATCTAATCCTATTATGAAAATTTAATTTTATTAATTTTAATTTAAGTTTTTACCTATTTCATTTATTAAGAATAAATTAAAAAAACATAATAAATAATTCATAAAAATTATAGATCAGCTTCATAAAAAAGACTCTTGGAATATCTTATAAAAAGAACCAAACCTAATAACCAACGTTGAAAAGAAAATATTGAATTTAGACTTATTGATTCTTAGAAATATAGTAGAGTAAACACAATTTCTTGATAAATTAGTTTTCAAAATAATTTAAAAAGCTCGTTAGTCATTGACATAGTCAAAGACACTTTAGTCTAAGTAATATCTGTATTAACTTTTATCATATAAAGTGACACTTGGATGGAAAAACGTCGTTTCTCTTCCCTTCATCCCAAAACACGTTCTTCTTTCCCTATCCACCACTCCCAATTGTCTGTACCACAACAACAATGGTTTGGTAACATTGCATATGACGATGATGTACGTGAGGCTTTAGCGTGATGAAGCTGCTTTTGGAACCTGACATAGATTCAGAGGTCATGGACAACTGTGAAAAAATAATATTGGATCTAATGAAGGAAATTTTAAAGGTGATATGGAATGGAGAGAAAGATGAAAATTTATAGTAATTTAGCGAAGTGTAAAATGGTGGTGTCACCACCAACAAATCCACCTCTCACTATATTCCAAGCTCTTACTGGAGTGACATTAGAGCACTGTATTTTATACCCTTCGTCTTTTTTGGGAACCTCAATGCTCAATGCTGCCACAGTTACAAAAGTTGTAGGTAAGATGACTGACTTAGGAAAAGCAACTAGCATCAAACGATTTCTGCTTGGAAGGGGTTGTTGCCAAATATGTAGTAGATGACTAAAATGAGTTAAGATTGGTGAACAGTAACTAAGAGAAAAGGAAACAGTTATTTTAAATAACATCTATCGTGTCACTCAACGATAAATGTTTATACCATTATAATAAAAATTATAAATTAGACTAAAATGTTTAATATTTGACGAAGTGAAAGGCTAATAAGTCTTTTTAAGAATTTCAGGAACCAATTTATTTAATATTCACAATTTCAATGTCCAATACAGTGTTTACTCAAATATAGTATTTATGGTATCGCAGCTTTTGCCCTCATGTTGGTGGTACATTGCGAGTGCTGGTGCGGTGTTGGCGTCGTTGCAAAGCAGGTGCTAATGCTAGCAGTGGCGCAGTGCAGCAATGTTTGGAACTGAGTTTGGGCGTTAAAGGTGTGCATTGTGGTGCTGATGCTAAATCGAGTGTACCAGCCAAATATGTATATCCAAAAGGCAAAATCAACTTTGGTGCGCATTATTAAAAGCTATATTGCATACTTATGAATGTAAGACTATATAGAGCGAGTAATGATACAATGGATCAGGTAAACAGTCCAAATCACTCATTAAAAGCAAACACGGAGGAAAACACAGGATTATGGACATACAACCAATTAGCAGATGGTCCTTTTTGGTCAAATAATATAATAACACATCCCCACTAAAAATTAATTAAAACAAAACAAGACAGTATGAAGATAAGTTAGACCTAATAAATTATACCAAGGCAATGCTGCTCTCGCCACCAGGTGGCTTCCGTACACCCCCTAAGTAGTCTCTAGCTTCTACCTTCCCATCAGCAAAGATGTTACTACCACTCATCTCTCGTAGTTTAGCCCCACTCAATGATTTCTCAGCAGATGAAGGCGGCACATCACCTTTGAATATGTCATTCCCCGAAAGTTCTGCAAATTTCTTGTCATAAATCTTCTTTGCTGTCTTCATAATTGGTTCCCCTGTAGACATGGTATCACCTTGATCCCCATCAGCCTGTAAAACCAAGGTCATAGCGCAAGCCATTAAAATGCATAAAGGCAGGCAACTGTTACATTAAAACATTGCAATATGCATGAAGAACATCATCTTTATGCCCCCCTCCCCCTACATAATTTATACACCCAGCAAAATCATGATGGCCCACAATATGCATTATCTGTTCCACGAAGCAATAACTTCAGCTTTTCTTGTTAAAACATTGTACTGGTGGCATGTTTGTCTGAACAAAATTCTATATGCACTCTCTTTCCTCGGGAGGTTATTGGAAGTACAATCCAAATCTTAAAATTAGGAGAACAAAATTGAAATTTGAAAAGTATTCACCCAAATAATTCAGGTTAGCAACTTATAGTGGTGCATACATGACGTTCTCCAATGTCTATGCTCCCTTTTAACTCCAGTATGCGAGGAGTTATTGGCCTGGGTTTGATTTCTGGTGGTGGAGCAAATATGTCATGACCGCTGAGCTCCTTGCACTTCGCATCAGAAAGCTGTTTTTTCAATTGAGAGTCTTCACTTTCCAGAGTTCCACTTAGCTCACGCTGCTTGGCCACCTCAGGCAAAGTAGTAGGTTTTTTTGGAGAAACACTCTCCTCCTCACCAAAGGAGATATGGCTGATTCCAGCAATTGTTTGCTTCAATTAAAGAAGAAACAATAAAAATACAGGTTAGCCGAAATCCACTGCAAATCTATGATCAATACAATATGTAGAAGCATCTGTGTTCATATATACACGAATAAATACCTGGTACATTCGTACTCCAGTCTTATTTGGGGGAGGGTTGGCACTGCCAGTTTCTGCTGTCTCATCTTCTCCATTGGCTACAAATATTCCACTACCAGTTATCTCCTTCATCTTATACTCCGAACAAGGCTTTCTGGAAATTCCACGGCTAGATTATTTCAGATGCCACAGAATATAAAGACAAAAAGTAAATTTGATCCAGGAGTCAGAAGTAGGAAAAAGTGCAAGTTCCGTTCATAATATGATTAAAAAATTCAGTTTGAATTCATTACACTCCCAACTCTCAAATCAAATGCTAAAATAGGAACCTTGTAGCATCATAAGACAAGAAACTGAAAACTACAAGTAAAGATACAAGGAAACCAACGCGCTCTATTCTCTATCACTGTTTTGAAGCTCCAACATTGGGAGAAAGGGAGAGGGAGAGAAAGGATAGAAGAAGAAATGGTGTTTCTTCATTCCGAGAGAAGCGGCCATATGTCCCATTTCTACAAGAAGCCAGAGTTGATACCGGCAGCTCAATGTTGGATTACAGTACACAAAAACACAAAACAAGAATGAGGGTTTTGCAGTGACTAGAAAGACAACAATGAAGGTATCATGAATGGAATTTCGTATTACTATTTTTAACCAGCCTGAGTTTGCAACTGACTGAATTATCTCATTTTACCACTTTCCTTTTCTAAAAGGAAGAAGCAAGTGCTACGGAAATCAGAAGAGGAATAAGGAAGCACGGTTTAAATGATAGATCCAACAACTCAGCCAATCCCATTCCACCTTTTTTCAAACATTAGCTTCCTACTAATGGGTGGACTAGTTAAGCAAGATACTCCACAGATAATATGCTCAAATTGTTAGAGTAATAGTGTCAAAAAAAAAAAAAGATTACAGATCAACGACGGAAACAACGTTTCAATCAATCGGAAAATGACACAAATTGTGACGTATTTTGGGGAAGAAAAAAAAAGGAACCAGCTCCTTCCAGAGTTACCATAAATTTCGGACAATAAAGCGAGTTGTTTCAAAGTATTGATAACAAAAAAAACGAGAAAGTTGAATTTGCGGAAAATAATGAGAGTAGAGTAGATCTCACCGTTTGTTTAAGCTCTCGACCTCTTCATCAGTGACCTGACCCCCAAAAACCACCTTCCTGATCCCATCGGACGGCTAAAATTGTACGATACAAGAAAAAAAAAACAAAATACGAAATTACGAATGAAACCAAAAAAAGAAAGGGAATATTAAATTTATATAATACCTGGTGAGAACGAAGAGCAGAGGAAGGAGGAGCTGGGGAATCGGCAGGTGAAGTTTCGGACCAAGTGAGCAGATCTGCGGTTGAAGTGTAAGGCTTCCTCACCGGAGTGCTTCTCTCCATATTGCTAAGTCACACAATGCCCTGCTCAACCAATTAACCCCTGTTACTCATCACTCTTCACTCTTCACTTTCTCTTCCTCCCTCCAATAAAACCAAATAATTAAAATAAAAATTTAAAAATGGAAGAGGGTGGGGACCGTGCCTGTTCCTGGGTGCGCAAGGTCGTTATGTTAATCTTCAGCGCAGGAATGACAACGATGACCTCTCGATCTCCAAGATTCTTTTTGCTCAATGTAGAGAGAGCAGAGGAGAAAGTTTATTTATATAAATTTATATAAACATATATAAGGACAGGTAAATGGGTTGAGTGTAGCGTAGATAGAGAGTGAAGAGAATAGTACAAAGTAGAAGCTACTCTTCTGTTTTAAAACTAAGCAAGCAAACGTCAACCACGCACACTCACCTCTTTATATAACCCTCTCGTTTCTCTTTCTTCTTCTTCTTTTTTTCACTTTTTTTTTCTTATTATTTATATTTATTTACTCTGCTCTTAAATTTTGAATCTTAAACCGCCCTTGTATATTTGAGTATACATACCTCTTTTTGTTGTTTGGACGGTAACCATGTGCGCCGCATGTACCGCCACATGTCGGTTGTTACAAGAGTGCACATTAATTTTACATTCTTGCCCTCCTCCCCTAATGCCACTGTTGTGCCCCCGTTTTTTTTTTTTCGCCTTGATCACCCCACCCACTTTGTGATGATAACTCAACACAGTTTACTTTTTTTTTCCTGCTAAATTTAGTCAAAGATTAGCCACATAAGCCAACTGCTACTGAAAAGTGTTAATTGATGCAAAAGGGAAATAATGTTAATGTCTGTGGACCTTGATTTGTAAAAAAAAAATGCTTCATACACATCTTTTATATATATATATATATTAAAAGTTGTAATTGACACTGATAATAAATTTTTTTTGTAACTCAACCATTTTCCTGAACAGAAGCAGGTATTTATCTATGGCAGGAAACAAAGATGTAGATGCGCCTAAGCTCGTTGGCAAATGGCAACTGTACTCTACTACCTAGTGGGTTCTACATCGAAGCGTTACACATTCCCTGGGATCAAATATCTCGTGACGATCATGTGCAAAAAGTCAAGGATTGCCAACTAATTTGTGACTTTATAAAATTTTATTCTTAGGAATGGAGAAGAGAGGCATTCAATCAAGTGACCTTTTTCATGAACTGGGAGATTGAGCTTGAATTCTCTTTTTATATTTCACTGAATCGAAAACCATTCGTGGGACACAAGCAAAAAACGTAAAAAGGTTTCACGTGTGGCCTATTGGCATCTCTCATCAACATTGTGATTCATAATTATCGGCTTGGTGCTCTCAAACATGAAAATCTCCTCTTCACATGCGCCCTCAGCAAGCCTTTGCTTTTCAGCTTTTTCTTTGCCTTCTTTGGGGAAAATTCCAGTCGATAATAATAATAAAAAAAAAAAAACGTGGCTACCGAACAAGTATAACAGGAGAAAGATAACCAGCAGTTGTGAGGGCATTTTCGTCTCCTGATATAATTTAGCTGATTGTGGGAATGCAACGGTATCTAACCTAACGATAAAGTTATCCGTTAGAAAGCAAAACCCAACCGGTTGCTTGTAGCACTTATTACGGGAATAATTCAAATTTTAAAATTCTTTTGTTGCTCAGTTACAAAAATGTCCTTCCACACCCTTATTTTATTTGTTTTTTTAAACGTCTCTTTGTTAAGATTAGGATTGTGGAGAGTGCCCTGGTGATTCGAAAAGTTTATGAATAAATTTCATTTCGATTATTGTTGTAAAAAATATACATTTATTCAATGAGTAAGGAAAAAAAGAAAAACGTTTTTAGTGTCAAAACTCGATCTATACACGAAACTATATTAAAATCAATCAATCAATCTTTCTAATGAAAAAAGTTATTGGCAAAATGTTCTTTATAAGCAAAAGTTTTAAATATTAATATTATTCATGTACATAATGGAAGAGATTTTTTTAATAAAACGTGTATATTAATTAATAAATTTTATCCGATGCCTATTAACAAAATATGTGTCTGATCCTATTATTTAGCTAGGTATCGACTTTGATTAGATTCTAAGCATTATAATTAAATTTAAATTTATAGGTATTTATCTAACTCTAATCCGACTTTAACATATATACATATGCATGCTTGTGTATATGTTAAAGTTTCATTTTCACAATCTTATGTTTTATACATATTAATAATAAAATTAAAAGTATGTAATTAAATTTATCAAAATTAATTTTATGTAAAAAAATTCCAATGATAAAGTAATTAAATCCTTTGCATGTGCATATAATTGAAGACAAGAGAAAAAGGTAAAAGCAACAATTGATTATAATAAGAGAGAGAGAAAGAGCGCAATAGCCTCCATTGGTGAACCACTTAAAAAATGGACAAAAACATAATGAAGACAAAAAAACACTTAAAAATAACAAATCAAAATTCCAAGGAGACAAGAAAACAACAGAAATAAGGGGTGGCTAGCTCACTGCTCGGTAGCTCTCCAATGTATATTTTATTTATGGGAAGAATATCGTGTATTTTAAAAAAGTAATAATTATTTATATATTATTTGTTTAAATAATGAAAAAAAGATAAAATAAGATTATTAATTAAATTTGTTATTTAGAAGAAGAGATAAAGTTGAGTAAGGAAAATTTTATAAAATCCTCTCATCTCCTGCCGTCGTTCATTTGTTTAAACTAATTTCAAATACATCCTATAAAGAAAAGGAAGATAATGTAATTTATAGAGGAGAAACAAAATATTAGATATCTCATATGAGATTTATGTTTCCTACATTGATTACATAAGCACGTCAATTCATATGATAGTATACACGCACACATAACTCCATCCACCTCGTAGCTAGCCATCTAATTATAATTCTAAATTATTCTTTCGTTTGCATACTTTATCAGGAATATATGAACACTACGAGACCTCACTCCACTAAACGTGTATTATCTCAAAGTTCATATTCAAGTATTAAAAGACGAGAACAAATTTTATAAACTGCCATCTTAGTTTCAAGAAAAATGCAAATTAGTGTTTAGCTAGATCCTAGTTCTTATGTTAAGTAGATTATAAATTATTCTATATTGAAGTAATTTAGTTACAATAACTAATCATAAAAAAATAGTACTTTAACCACATTTAAATATGTATGTAAAAAATAAATAATTTACTAATTAAAAAATTGCTTATAATGCACATAAAAAATATTCTCATTTAATACATCTTATGTGTGTATAATCTACATAATTAAAAAATTATAATATGTATTTTTTGCCTAAGACTTCTAATTAAAAAAAAAAACACTTCCAGGCAAAAATTAGGAATGAAGATGGGACAGAAATTAGACATGAAAATGGGGAACATGGTTTTCCACGCCCTGTCCAACGTCGAATTATGAAAATATTATTGAAAAATTCAATGAAATGCTTTCCCTAATTTTTTTTTTATATAAGTAATCATTTAAAAGATTTTCTATTTTGTTATAAGGTATTTTGTTTTATGAAATATTTAATATTTTTTAATTGCCATTAATATACAGAGTTACTAAAAAACTAAATTAAAATAAGCAAATTGATAGTCAAATTAAATTCAATGATATTAATGAATAATTTTTTAAAAAAATACTATTATTACAATATTTGAAAAAATTAATTCACTTTAATAACTGTTATTAATTTGTAATTTAAGAAAAGTGTTTTAGAAAAAGTAGTAAAGTACCAATAAAATATAGTAATAACATTAAGTATGACATATTTTTCATATATTTTAAAAAAATTGTAGTTTTTAATCAATATCTTAAAAATACGGTTGAATATTATTTAAATAAAATTAATCATTAATATTTTATATATAACAAAATCAATTCCAATTATTGAAAGTGATTCTAAGAGTTAAAATTAAATAGACTAAAATTGTTGCCTTGCATGACAATGAATGACACAGCTTATTTTAAGAATGGTTTTATTTACATTATACGAAATCTAGAAGAAATATTGTTAGTTTCAATTACCATGTAGTGGTGTGGTCATGCAGTTTTCAAACAAAAAGGCATATTTTTGAACAAGGGTATTGATTTTTAGTTCATCTTTTTAAGGACTGAATTGGGTTAGAGGCATATATGGCTTTCATGATTATAACAAGTTTGAGGTTTGGATTCGGTTAGTAAAAATTTAGGGAGAAGGAAGGAAAGAGTGGACCAGAAACCATATGTGGAAAAATGTGACATCATGTCCCACACTTTAGTGCTAACCTAACTTGAAGCATACCCAACTAACAAAATGGAAGGACGATTCCTTAAAGAAGCCATAAGGCCAGCCTTCTACTAGGTTTTTATGACTCTTGATTTCCCTCCCCACCATCTACCCCTGTTAAAATAATATTTAAAGTTGCTATTCATCTGTTACCATCATGATATCTTTAGATACCAAGAAACATAATAATTGGATAGTTTTGTATGGTACGATATGAACGAGTCCAAGCTGTAGTTCATGCTTAAAATAATACATATACTGTGATAATTAATCAGCATCAATGCCATCTTTCCATTTCTCTGCAGTAAAGGCTTGCCAACTGGTGAACTTTCATCCTAATTGACTGAAGAACTCACTGCAAAGTCTGCATCAGGGTCTGGTAGTGACACCAGAAAAGTTTGCTCAGGATGGCAGCAAAATGTTAAAACCCTTGTGATAATTGCACGTCATTGAGAAGAAACTTACGCAAACTAGAGGATAAACGGGTCAAGTTAGCATTTCTAACATACTTAGCTGGTAAGCATTACTGAATTAATTATATATCTTCTTGGATTTTACTATTGATAATTTCAATCAAACAATGTTGCAATATTACATATTTATTTTATCTTAGGTAGTGAGTAGCCACAAAAAAAATGAACTCCTCCTAATTAATATAGGAATTTGGATTAAGTTCGTGAAGGAATATGTCTTCATCAATCATTTAGGCCAGGATCGAAATGAGGTTGAATTATTCGACCTAAATATTAAAACAGATTGATAGCGGGATGGTGATCAACAGGAATATTAGTGGTCCATGATTTAAGTTATACACCGTACAATATCAACTAGTCTTTTAATTTTTCTTTCTAATAATATACTGATTAATTATCAGTTTGGCAATGGATGAGTTGTAGCTGATTCACTTCAATTGTAGTATAGGAGAGTGACCCAGTTAGGTTGGGTTTAATTTAACGCGGCAATTGATGGATAAAAATAAGTAGTTGTTGGTTTAGGGTGTTATTATATGGCAATAACTAGACATCCATTAATTCAATGTGATAATGATTTAAATTATATGGAATCAGAATTAAAGGGG